TGATAACAAATTTTAATATCTATTTAATATCATATTATAGAAATATTTTTTATTACGATTATGATTTAGCTCAACATGAAAATTGTTCAAATATAAATGAATTTAATAATTTTTAAAATTTAATAATAAAAAATTTAATAATAGCAAAAAGTAAAGCTGAAAGTTAATGAAAAAATATTTTTTAAAAAGTGTCAATTAGTATATACTTTATTCTCTTTTATTTGTTAATTTTTATTTCATGTCTTTTTAGTTTTAAATTTATGACATGATATCGCACGCGCAGTTCCACTTAAGTGATGAAACGACAGGGTTCTAAGAAGTTAATTTTCCTTGACTTTACTTGCTCAGTTAAAATATATAAATAGTGAGATAAGATAATATTAGAATAATATGATAAAATAATAATAGAATCTGTGTTCAATTATCTATGAAAATTATTAAAATCAGTTATAAAAAGAATTTGGTATATTCATCATGATTTGAAATACATAAAAAATACATAAATTTCATAAAAAAATTTGTAAAACCATTGCATTACAAATAATTATCTGTAGTAATTATACATTATTATATGAATGGACAAATGGATATTAATAATATTAATTGAAAATTAATAAAACACGATATATATGTCACGTAAACGAAAAAAAAAATTAAAAACATGAAAAAATCATGATAGAAATACGCGACTTACGATAAAGTAATCAATTTATTGAACTTCTATATTTAAGTGTATAAACAATGGCACCCACCAGAGACAAATGTGTGAGACGTTTTATTATTCCAGAAACGACACGACATAAAAAAGGATTTACTATTTACAAAGTCACATCTGTGGTATGCAATGCAAATATAATATATAAAGTAAAATAAAATAATTTAATAATCAATTTTTCTGTGGATTTAAAATTTATAATAATTTCAAATTAATCTTTATAATATTCACTTTAACAATTTTGATTTTTATATATGAAAATAATATTTTAGATATTAAGTTATAAATATATGTACTTTTTTAGGTATTTTTAAAAAGTTCTCATGAAGAAATTTCTAAAGTGTCTGTATGGAAACGTTATAATGATTTCAAAAAACTTCATTTAGAATTAAATGTACTGTATTCACAATCTCGAATTAAAGAAAGTTTTCCATCATTTCCAAAACCAAAATTTTTTGGTAGATTTGAAGCCGATGTCATTGAAGAAAGAAGAGAATGTGCATTAAAATTTTTAGAATTTATAGGAAGACATTCATATTTATATTCTAGTGATATTTTCATAAAATTTTTTGAAACTAGTCATGCTGATTATTATTTAAATGATTATTCTCAGTCTATTAGTTCTGATACATCAACAGAAGATCTTCATTCTTATGTAAATTCTCTATCTAATAATGATATTGTTCCTCAAAATATTTCCCAAATCAAAAATATTCAAACATCATTTACAAATTCATCTATTTCTAAAAATGAAGTAAATCAATCTCAAGAAGCATCTGATTCTAAAGAACAAATTTTACCACAAAATAATTTAAGATACAAAACTGAAAATGAAAAGATATCCATGACAAAAAGTATACATAATAAATTATTAATGGAAAACAATGATTCAAGTAAAATTGTTTCTAAATTGGAGGATACTCAATTAATTTCTAACAAAAATAATAATTGCTATAAGAATTATTATATTAAGAAGGAGAATGATTCTATAATTTTAGCATCAAACACTAAAACAAATAATGGTACCACTGTTGAAGATATAAATTCTTCAATAAATACTCATGATGGTTCTGATTTATCACAATCATTGACAGATTCGCCACAATATATTCTAATTGCAGCTGCACATATGAGTGCAGCTATTAAACATGAAGATCTTACTGAATATGAAGAAGCATTTACTCAATATAAAATGGGAATCTCTAGTCTTCGATCTGGAGTTGAATCTGATTCAAATAAAATAAGAACAGAAATAATTAAGGAAAAAATATCAAAATATTTAATACGTGCTGAAAAACTTTATAATAGATATCTAAATTGCAATATCTCAGTGTTGAATAAACCTATAGCAGAACTTCAATATTATAAAGTATTAAAAATTATAGAATCAGTAATGCTTGTAAGAGATATTCGTCAGAATTGCCTCAATATTGTAAAAGTATAAATAATTTGAATATTTTAGTTTAAAGCAAAAATATGGAAAAAAAAATTTTAAAATTCTCTTAATTTCAGGCAATAGAAAAATTATCTTCAAACAAAGAAAGTATAAGTAATTATATATTACGCGGTGAAATACCATACATGGTCCGTTTATATGCATGTATTGAAACAGACACGCGCATATTTCTAATTTTACAACATTTAGGGTAAGTATTATAAAAATAATATTACTATTATTTTTATTATTTAATCGTAAAATCTATTTTATAATCGCTGAAATCTAATTATTTGAATTATATTATAGCCGTGGAAAATTGTGGGATTTTATAACATCACATTATAATTCTGTCAGTAATAAAAATTGTGACAAAATAA